AAAATATAGCTGGTTCGTTCCGAGCTTGGCTTTAGGGGCTGGATTCCAGCGGCAGGAATCCCACATCCCTGCTTTGCTACCCGGGCATCGCCGAGCACAGCCCGTGTGTCCAGGGCAGCCTGGGCAGGACGTGTCCGGGCTGAGGCTGTTCTGGGGTGATGCAGGTTTGGGGTGATGCTGTTTTGGGTGGCGCTGTTTAGGGGTGATGCCGGTTTTAGGTGATGCCGTTTTTGGGTGATGCCGTTTGGAGGTGATGCCGCTCTGTCCTGCCTCAGGCTCTGCCAGCTCCAGCTCCTGCTTTTCCCCCCCTCAGAGGGGGAAAAAAAAATAAATCTTGGCTTTGTGGCTGGGATGTGGCTTTGCAGGGGCTCCCTGATTGCGGGGACAGCGTTTTGCTCTTTGCCAGCATGGATTTAGGCTCTGGGCACAGCTCTGCCCATCCCAGCCCAGGCTCAGCCTCTGGCTCTTGTGGGACCCGGGCTTGCCCAAAAAAAATCCATGGCCAATATTTACCACGTCCTTTGGGAAGGGGTTTAATCCATGAGGCTCCTAAAGCCCCCCCGAGCTGATGCCCCCCGGGAGCAGGGGATGGGGCCAGGGCTGTGCCCACCTCGCAGGGACCTTGGGATGGTGGCCCTGCCCTGGAATGTGGAGCGTGTTCAGGGTTGGGGCACAGCAGCGAGTCTGGGGGTGAGTTTTTCCTCTAAAATAAGCCCCGATGAGCTATTTTAACGTTTTCTCCCCTGCTCTCTGCATGAGGGAGCTGAGGGTGTCCCCGGGCAAGGGCACAGGGCTCGGGCAGCCCCTGCTCCCTCCCAGCGAATCCATCTCCGGAAAAACAGCGCTTGTTTTCGCCCCGTTGTTAAACACTTCGTTGCCTTTAATGACCAATTGATACTTGAAATGTCAAACTGGAGCACTCCTGACCTTTCTGATGGAAAATAACTTCTGCCCAGCGGCTGCCAGGGATGCGCAGGGGCTCCGGAGAGAGGGAAAACAGCCCCGTGCGCGGGGGGCACGGGGGGCACAGGGGCAGGAAGGGGGTGGCTTTCGGTCCTTTTTGGTTTTCTTCGTACAAAACTGTGCCTTGAGTTTCTCTGCAAAGCCCCAGATGGGGAATGTTTGTCAGAACCTCGGTCCGTGCCAGGAGGGAGGCAAGGAAAAAAAAGGGAATAATGTGATTTTGGAAAGGCTCTGTCTCCTGGAGCGCCTCCTGAAAGGCCCAGATTTTCGAGGCAAAATAATGAGTGTTGGATTTCCTTTCCCCAACGCATTTTTTTCATGCAAATACCTTTCTTCCTTTTTTCTTTTTTTTTTCTTTTTTTTTTTTTTTTTTTTTTTTTGCTAGTCAACCATAACCACGGGCAGAGCAGGGAGTCAGACAGTCACGGTGCAGGAGCTCCGGGTTCCCATTAAAAACCTCTCCCGGGCCACGGGATGTTGGGATGTGCCATCGTGGCGACCCCTAAAGAGCTGCTGGAGGTGCCACCCCCCTGCCACGCTGCTGGGGGGGGGGACAGTGCCGAGGAGGAAGGGCTGGGGAGGGGGGGGGATTTTCACCCCTCGAAATGCAGGTGAAAGCAGAAATTAATTTCTCTGAAAGCTCTGGCGATCGAGGCAGATTAATCGGGGCTATATATAGAGGCTGTCCAGATTTTGGGGGGATTACAGCCTGCTCTGCTGGGGCACTGCCCATTCCTCTGTGCCCAGAGCTCCCTGCACGGGCTCTCCCCCCCCTCCTGCTGTTGCCAAGGCTCCCGAGGCTTGAAAAGATGCTTTTAAAAACGGAACACATTGAGACAAGAGCCGAGCCCTGCTGCTGCTGGTCAGCAAAGCTGGAGCTGCCAACAGCTCCAAAAGCCTCCAAAGAGGGGCTGAGTGTTTGCTGCCGGGCTGCTTTTCTGTTTTTTTCCAGGCAAATGGAAGTGCTGTTCCCAAGGGATGAGGGCAGAGCTCTCCCTGGGGGATCTGTGTGTGTGCTGGGCTCAGATCACTGTGGCCTCTGTGGGGCTTGGGGTGGGTTCCAGTCCCTCATCCTGGAGAAAAACCTGCAGGATCAGAAGGGTTTTGATTGTATTTTTAATGAAATTTCTCCTCCAGCTGTAAAACCAGGCCTGCCCCCCCTCTTGAAGACTTTATTCCCCCCCTGCCAGCAGCAGGGGCAGCTCTGTCCTCCCTGCAGGCTCAGGGATGTTCTGCTCCTCATCCTCCCCTGCTGACACCTCCACTTCTTGCTCCTGTGGGGTGTGATGGAATCTTGCAGCTCCTGGGATAGATGGGGAAAAGAGCCTTTCCCTGGTCCGAGCTGTGGCTGCTCCTCGGTGTCACCGCCTTCATCCAGCCCTTTTCCATGTGGGAAATCCCTGGATAACCACCCTCCATCGCTGCTGGCCATCCTCTCCCACCTCTGCTTTCCCAGTGGAGCAGGGACAGAGTCAGATATGGGAGGAATTCTGCAGGAATTCTGCAGAGGGGCTGGGGGTGCTCCTTGCCTGGCACACGGGGGCTTTTCCCCCCTGCAGGGCCGTGAGGAACAGCCCAGGAATGATCCCTGGCGCTCCACCTTTCTCCTTCCACGCCGGATTTTTGCTCCAGGAAGGATGGATGTACCCTGGCCTGGGCACGGATCTCCTCTCCCCGATTATGAAACCTCAAAGAGCTGCTTTGTTCCTTTGTTTGCAGAGGGATGGCAGCGCTGCCTGGCCCTGCTCTCCCCTCCCCGGGCTCCCTCTGCCCCTCCCCAGGGATGCTGGAGCAGCAGGGAAAGGAGGGAACAGGGAAGGGATGCTCTGCTCTGCCCTATATTCCTGCTCAGGGCTTCCCAGTCTGTCTGTTTGCTGCTCAAACTCCTGTTCCCAAAGAGTTTTCCACCTTCCAACCCGGGATTTTGGGGCACATTCTCCCCCTCAAGCACTTAAACAAGTGAAACATTGCAATGAGCCTTAAAACCCCAGAAAATTCCTCGGTTGCTCCTCGTTCCATGAGGTTGGTGCCAGTGGGGAAGGTCCTGGCTGGGGATGTGATTGATTTTCCTGCCTCCCTTCAAGGGCTTTGTAATATTCTCATTTTTCCTGCGAGTTCTGCTCGACCCAGAACGAGGGAGGAGTTTTGTAACGAGAGGAAAAAGCCGAGTCCAAGAATAATGCAGAGCTTGAAGGAACCTTGGAAACGGTGGCTGATCCTGGAGATGGATGGAAATGACTCCGAGAAATCAATAATCCTTTTTTTTTTTTTTAATGCCTCTGAGTCACTGGGAGCGAGGGGATGGAGGAACAAAAAGGCCCCATTAACGTCAGCA